GGGGGGGTATCAAAAACTATGTGAATCTAGAATATATTGCCGAGTGTGTTGAAATATTATTTCATTTTCCTGTTGGCTTAAAAAAAGTATCAGCTGCAGGTCCAGAGGAATGAAACAGTTTAGTTCACGATATAATTAAATTCTTTGTTCTACATAATTGTTGCAAGCAAAAAAGAAATGATAAGTATCTTCAACTGGATGACCACATTGACAGTGTCGGAAATGTATCAAATTTGCATGGGATAGATCATTATCTAAGGTACTAGCTCTGTTTCTTAATCTGGTATGTAAAATATTAAGTTTTCTGTCGGCAGTCAGATAATAATTTGGAACATGTAAATTTTGAAGATTTTGGAGAGAAATCTTAAACGCTGTGTGTGAAACTTTTTGTCTTATGTCTAGGTCTAATTGGTTCCAAAGTCGGATTGTAGAAGGGAAAAGGAGTGAGTTTGAAAGTTGAAGTCGGAAATTAGGTAGAGAATAATTATCGGCATTACAGAGGTGGTATTGTGAATTTTCTGAGACAAGAGGAGACATTAGAGAAGTAAGATAGGTTGCTGTGAATTTATTGTGAATTTTGTAGAATAGTTGAAGTTTTCTCATAGATTTTCTCTGAGATAAGGGTTCGAATCCACTTTCAGAGTATAAAGATACTCTGCTAGACTAAGAGGGTAAGCCCGTGATTATTCTAGTTTGTCTGCGTCACCGAGAGTACACCCATCCCATACCTCGCAACAGTATTCTAGTAATGGAAGAATATAGGATCTGTATATTTTATTAAGAGTACGACTATTTAATATAATATCTTAGTTGGCGCAGTACGCTTACCTGTTTTGAAACTTTTTGGCATATATTGTCCATGTGGTTACTCCAATTACAATCATTATCGATGTGGTTACTCCATTTACAATTATTATAAATGTGGTTACTCCATCCACAATTATTATCAATGTGGTTACTTCAATTACAATTATTATCAATGTGGTTACTCCATTCACAATCATTATCAATGTGGTTACTCCATTCACAATTATTATCAATGTGGTTACTTCATTTACAATTATTTTCAATGTGGTTACTCCATTCACAATTATTATCAATGTGGTTACTACATTTACAATTATTATAAATGTGGTTACTCCATCCACAATTGTTATCAATGTGGTTACTTCAATTACAATTATTATCAATGTGGTTACTCCATTCACAATTATTATCAATGTGGTTACTTCATTTACAATTATTTTCAATGTGGTTACTCCATTCACAATTATTATCAATGTGGTTACTACATTTACAATTATTATAAATGTGGTTACTCCATCCACAATTATTATCAATGTGGTTACTTCATTTACAATTATTATCAATGTGGTTACTCCATTTACAATTATTATAAATGTAGTTACTCCATTTACATATATTATCAGTGTAGTTACTTCATTTACAATTATTATCAATGTGGTTACTCCATTTACAATTATTATAAATGTAGTTACTCCATTTACATATATTATCAATGTTGTTACATCATTTACAATTATTATCAATGTGGTTACTCCATTTACAATTATTATAAATGTAGTTACTCCATTCACATTTATTATCAATGTGGTTACTTTATTTACAATTATTTTCGATATGGGTACTCCATGTACAATTATTATAAATGTGGTTACTCCAATTACAATCATTATCGATGTGGTTACTCCAATTACAACCATTATCGATGTGGTTACTCCAATTACAATCATTATCGATGTGGTTTCTCCATTTACAATTATTATCGATGTTGTTACATCATTTACAATTATTATAAATGTAGTTACTCCATTTACAACTATTATCAATGTGGTTACTCCATTTACATATATTATCAATGTAGTTACTTTATTTACAATTATTATAAATGTGGTTACTCCATTTACAATTATTATCGATGTGGTTACTTCATTTACAATTATTATCAATGTGGTTACTCCATTTACATATATTATCAGTGTAGTTACTTTATTTACAATTATTTTCGATATGGGTACTCCATGTACAATTATTATAAATGTGGTTACTTCAATTACAATCATTATCGATGTGGTTACTCCAATTACAATCATTATCGATGTGGTTACTCCATTTACAATTATTATAAATGTGGTTACTCCAATTACAATCATTATCGATGTGGTTACTCCAATTACAATCATTATCGATGTGGTTTCTCCATTTACAATTATTATCGATGTTGTTACATCATTTACAATTATTATCAATGTGGTTACTTCATTTACAATTATTATAAATGTGGTTACTCCATTTACAATTATTATAAAATCAATGTGGTTACTCCATTTACATATATTATCAGTGTAGTTACTTTATTTACAATTATTTTCGATATGGGTACTCCATGTACAATTATTAAAAATGTGGTTACTCCATTTACAATTATTATCGATGTGGTTACTTCATTTACAATTATTATCGATGTGGTTACTCCATTTAAAACTATTATCGATGTGGTTACTCCATTTACAATTATTATCAATGTGGTTACTCCATTTACAATTATTATAAATGTAGTTACTCCATTTACAACTATTATCAATGTGGTTACTCCATTTACATATATTATCAGTGTAGTTACTTTATTTACAATTATTATCGATGTGGGTACTCCATTTACAATTATTATCAATGTGGTTACTCCATTTAAAATTACAAACGAATATTTAAACAAATATTATTTTTTGAATATCTATCTTTAAGAATAAGACCTTTTATTTCAAAATTTGTCAAATAAGTTTATTTTATTGAGGAATGTTTTGGGCTGTTGTAGTTTTTTGGGGCAAAATACTTGGGGCGTTATGTTTTTTGGGGGCGAACTGATTGGGGCGATATGAATCAACTTTGTGCCGTTACAGTTTTGGGGCGAATCGTCTGACACCGTTTCAGATTAAAAGATCAAATATTTAAAGTTAAAAACAGGGGTGGATTGCTAGGGTCTGTATATATATGATCATTGGGGGTGTCATTTTTACCGAAAGTCGATCTAATCCCCTAAAACATGTCAAATAACTCTGAACACCTTAGTTTAGATCCAAATATAGCTGTAACAAATTCTCAGGTCCATGTGCTATAGCAGTGCGCTCTGGCCCCACACCTATCTGTCTAAATGTCTAAGTCTGGTGTCAGGGCCAGAGGAAACTCGGGATAGCCTGACCATTGATTGACAGGTGATGTTTGCTAGAAATAATAATAACTTCTGTATTTCTCGTGATAATTTACTTCATAAATAATGAAATATATCTTGCTATATTTTATCCAATATAACAATGATGAATTATTGGTTATCTTTTCCTTGATAATTAACTCCATATAAATAATAAAAATACATTTACAAGTATGCCCGATTAACATCGATATACATATAGTTGGCTTTAATTACATATAAGTTGGTAATATATATATCAGTTGTATTAGGTGTTTACTTTCTGTATTGGGTAAATTGATGTTTGTATTGGGTAAATCGGCGCTTGTATTGGGTAGTTTTGGGTTGTAATGGGTAAATCGACATTTGTATTGGGTTGTATTGGGTAAATCGACATTTGTATTGGGTAGTATTGAGTTGTATTGGGTAATCGACGTTTGTATTGGGTAGTATTGGGTTGTAT